ATTCGCGAATAAACATTTTTTCATATAGCAATGAGAAAAAAACAGTCTCTTTGAATTGAGTAATTCTTGTAATTTTTAAACTCTATGGAACATTATATGAGGAAAAAATTGTGTACAGTAATTGTGATGAGTTTTATACCTGCTGCTAGGTGTTACTATATATATGTGTGACTCATGAAAGTATAACAAATGTACGAAATGAATTTTTTTTTTCTGAAGAGAGAAAGGCAAAGATGCATCAAAAAAGACAAGGTCACAAGCAAAAAATTCATATCTATATTTTCTAGAGGTTCAAAAACACTTGCAACAGGTCATTTACACGACAATTAAATATATATATATATATATATCGGGCGAGATCACATGCTACTTGTAATGTACATATATAAGGACTCCGAGACCTTGTGTCTAGAACAGTTATTTTCGAATTTTTTCACTGTTGCGAAGACAGTGAGAATAAAAAATATAAATCGCTACTGCCAAAAATACATATAATATATTACTGGAGAGAAAAGACATAACTTTTTTTTTCACGCGAAAAAAAACTAATTTTCTTTGTTCAAATTCATGCAACACAAGTTAAGAAACGAAATTCTATTAATTGGTAACATTATTATTTAGGGACGCATGATTATGTTCTACAAATAATTAGTTAAAATTTTTATTTTATGGAATTTCATTTGTCATAATTATTTTTGAGCCAAATTTTTTATTGGTTCGAAATTAGTATTTTGCAGAATTTTCATCAAAAACGATTTTCTATATTACAGAATTTTTATATAACCGAAAATTTACTTCACAGAATTTTTATTTGTTCCAATTTTTATTGGTCAGAATTTTTATATGCTCGATTTTTCATTTAACATAATAATAGGCATTTTAAAGAATTTTTATTGGATAGAATTTTATTGCATATAGAATTTTCATTTTATTCTTTCAGATGAATTTTCATTTGTTCGAATTATATTATTTGATATAATTTCCATATAATCGATTTTCCATACTACAGAATTTTTACTTAACCGAAAAATCATTTAACAAAATTTCCAAATTGATAGAATTTTCATTTGTCCAAAATTGCAAATGGCCGAACAAACAATCGACAGAATGATTTTGGCGCGATTTTTAAAATCAATCAATAAAAACTTATTCATAAAATTGTGATTGGTTGATTTTTAAAAATCGCACCGAAATCAATTGTTGTTTCGGCCATTTGCAATTTCGGACAAATGAAAATTCATCTGAATGAAAATTCTATGCAATAAAATTTTACCCAATAAAAATTCTTTAAAATGCCTATTATGTTAAATAAAAATTCGAGAAAATAAAAAATCTGACAAATAAAAATTGCAAAGAAACAAAAGTTCTGTGAAGTGAATTTTCGGTTTATAACATAATCATGCGTTCCGAATTTTTATTTGTCCGAAATTACAAATGTCCGAACAAACACAATTGTGATTGGTTGATTTTAAAATCGCGCCCAAATCTTTCTGTCGATTGTTTGTTTGGCCATTTGCAATTTTGGACAAATGAAAATTCTATCAATTTAGAAATTCTATTAAATGATTATTCGGTTAAGTAAAAATTCTGTAGTATGAAAAATCGATTATATGGAAATTATATCAAATAATAAATTCGAACAAATGAAAATTCATCTGAAAGAATAAAATGAAAATTCTATATGCAATAAAATTCTACCCATTAAAAATTGTTTAAAATGCAAAATTATGTTAAATGAAAATTCGCGAGCAAATAAAAATTCTGACAAATAAAAATTCTGTGAGGTGAATTGATGATTATATAAAAATTCTGCAATGTAGAAAATCATTTTGATGAAAATTCGGCAAAATACTAATTCGAACAAACAAAAATTCGACTCAAAAATAATTATGACAAAAATAAAATTCCATAAAATGACAATTCTAACTAATGATTTTTAGAACAGAATCATGAGTCTTTTTATTTTTATTACGAAGCTGAAGTACGCAACGTTTATATAAACAATTTTTTAAGGAAATAATTTTTTAAAATGAAAAATTCTAATAATTTTTTGTCTAAAAAATATTTTTTTATAATTTGTTGATTAATGAAAACTACAAGAAATATTTTTTAGGCAAAAAATTATTAGAATTTTTCATTTTAAAAAATTATTTCTTTAAAAATCGTTTATATAAATGTTGCGTACTTCAGCTTCGTATTTTTATTTTCATTATTACTTTTATTAATAATATTATTATTTGAATTATTACAATTATTTTATTATTATTATTTGACTATTATTTTAAGTAACTTCAGCTATAATCCAGTTTCCTCTTAAATCGTCATAAACCCTACTACTGTTACGTTAAAACACTTTTCTTTCTATAACTGCTCCTTACTTGCATTAGATGGTATATTAGAGAGAAAGAGAAAAAAAACTTTTTTTCCTTTTTTAGAACTTGTACAACTCGTTAAGTGTCATCAACTAAATTTCTATTTTGTGAGAGTTCAGTAGACTTGATTATATATTTATTACGTCTTCAACACTATTCCAGATTTTTAATCTCTTTAGAGAAAGGATAATATTTAAATTACTCTCATGCGATTCTTTACATATATTTATAATATATATATATATAAATATGTATTTATTGCATTTTTAAAAAAGTAAAAATTTTTTTTTAATGTATCTGAAGTTTCTGAATTGAAAAATATTATGTACTCGATTAGTTGACTATTATTAAATAAATATTTACTTAAATCAAATAATTTTTTTAAAAATTAAATAAATTGTTTTTAAATTAATAATTTTTGTATTTGAAATAAATATCATTTAATTGATTCATAGAATAATTATTTGACACAAATAAATATTTATGTGATAATACTCAAGTAACCGATTATTTGAATTAAATAAATTTTTTTTGTACGTTTAAATAAACGAAATAATTTTTTTAATGAAAATGAAAATGTTTATAAAATTATGACTATAAAAAAGAAAAATTATTTTTTCTAGTAAAAAAAAATTTTTTTCCTTCACAGAAAACAGAATATTTTATATGTTCTAACTAAATCAAGTGTAAATCAGAATTTTTCAAATTTTTGTGTGAGAATTTCTTTTTTTTTTTGCAAAAACCCAAATTTGGATGAGAAAAAAAATTGATTTAATTCAAATAAACAGTTTTACGCACTTGTATATTGAACAAATGTTTAATTGAATTTTAATCATTTTATATAGATGAGCGAAAAATTTTGAACGTTAAAATGAACGAAATTTTTTTTGCAACTTCTTTAAGTAAGAATTTTATTATAAAAAATTGTTTTAGATATCTAAAAACAAGTTATTTAATTTAATAATTGTTTAATTTACTGTTTTATTTTACATTGACATTATTATTTTTAATAATTTATAGATTGAAAAAAATATTTTGTTCATTAGAACGTTCAAAACTTTTGGCTCATTTATATAGTGCGTTTTTATATTTTTGAATAGTACAATTTTTTTTATTGAAACAGTTTTCTTCTATTGATTCAAAAGAATTTTTGCCATTCATATAATGTAAAATATATATATATACATTATAACTATATTTAAATATTTATTAAAATTTAAACTATAATTAAAACTGTACATCGGTGAAATTCACTACGTTTATGATCAATGATTTAAAAAAAAAAAATATATTTTTGACTCTCAAAAAAAAAAAATAACTAAGCTTTGCCTACAAATTTTTCTTAAAAAAATTGTTAATCGAGAAACGTTACAAAAAATTGTTTAAATATAAAATTATAATAATTTGCATGGAAATTTTTTTTTTTTTTTAAATCGTTGTGAATTTCACCGACGTAAATTTATAATATACTTAAATTAAAAAATATAATCAAGTTTTTCAGAATTTACATTGTATATTTTTTATTAACATAATAATAATTATTATTATTATTTAATAGGTAAATGACGTTAATAAATTATTTTTAATATTAATATTATTATTTTTTTATATTATATTATATTATATATTTTGCAATATAAATATATATTAATAAAACTTTCTAATAGTCAATAATTATATCTACTATATATTGTTCATGAAAAAAATAATTTGGTTAATAATACATTTGTGAGAGACAAAAGAAAAAAAAATGCATTGTACAGCACACATAAATCGTGTTATTGAACTATAAAGAATCATTTCAAACAAGAATTGTAAAAAAATGTTTCTATTAACGAATGTTTAAAACATTTGTATAAATAATTTACAAAAAAAAAAAAAAATAATAATTATCACATTATTATAAAAATAAAAAAAAAAATACTCTCTATGAGAAAACAAAAAATTTGAAATAAAATTGAATTTATATTTTAATTTTTAAAAATATAAAAAAATAAATTATATATACAAATAATTCACAAATAATGTAATTTAAAATGAGGATAAACTTACTAATTTCCGTCTTTGCAATTTCTTTTCAAGTTTTTCCGCAAGAATATTTTTAAATTTTAATTTGTTTTGTAATTCTATTTTTGCAACGTTTTTTTTTTTTTTTTTTTTTTTTTTTTTTCTCTCTTTGCATTTACTCGATATTTAAATAAACACTACTAAATTAATGGGATTCCGATTTAAAGAAGCACTTTGAACTGTGTAAAAACAATATGTTCTGTTTTGTATGAGAAAGTATAAATATATATGAAAATCACATATTCCTGATATTTTAATCGCTCATATTAACGAAATTTGTTTTTTCATACAAATCTTGTAAAAAAAAAAAAAATAATAAACTTTAATTGAAAATTAATTATTAATCTTATTAATTTAAATAAATTTGTTGGTTTAAAAAAATTTTTTTTTTGAGAAAAAAAAATTGAAAATTCTCATCTAGTTTCATAAAAGGAAATATTTAGTTACTAAATAGTAAAAAAAAAAAAAAAAAAAAAAAAAAAGAAGTAATTATATCAATATTTAAAAAAATAAATAATATAAAATTAATCATTAGAAAAAATTCTTTTTGAAAAAAAATACCTCTTGTGTTAATTCTGATGCACCATCAGGTTGAGAAGGTGATTGTAATAAAGAAGGTGTTTCAGGTGATGTTATATTTCTCGTAAGATCTGTTGAATTTGTTATACTTGGTCCAGGTTCAGGTGCATCTCTTCCAGATTCCTCGATATTTAATAAATACGCGTGTATATCATTTGGTGCACTATTCAATCTATTATATCTCCCCAATGAATTTAAGTCTTCGAATATATCTCTCTCATAATTAAGAAGCATTGAATCCAAATTTTTTGGATGTACAAACACCGGACGATGTACAATTGTATGAGCGTCCAAATGCCATCCTGATCCATTATTTAAATCCAAGGATCCAACACCAATTGTCTGTATATCTAATCCTAAATAAGCATCCGGATCAACACGAAGCAATGAGAGAAGCAAAGCGAGCTGAAGGAGCTCCTCGCGATAAAATTTCTTTAGGCTTAGCATTTTTTTTAATTTTTTTCTATTAGCAAAAAAAAAAAATTCTCTAATTTTTATCACAGATTCTTAGACACGTTGAATTTTTTTTTTCTTTTCTTTGGAGTTTTCGATAATATTACAAAACACAGCTATCACAGAGGATTAGCTCTGGTATTAAAAACAATCAGCAAATAAAACATTGCTGAGAGGAAAAAAAAAAAAATGTTTACGTCACAATTTATCCATTAAGAATTATTTATTCCACTTTTATATTTTGAATACTTGAAAAACATTTAAAAATCGCGATATGACAGTTGATTTTTGAGGTTATGATGAAAACTTCCTATTTATTTTCCTGCGTTTAGAAAATTTTCTTTCACACAAATACTTCTCACACTCTTTTGTCTAATCTATCTGTTCAAACAATATCCAACCTGTTCGTTGGGATGGTGAATTGGAAATAAAAGACTTCGGTGGGTCCACCTTTCGATGGGTATAGGTCAGTTACACGCGCGAGTTACAGAAATAACCTCAAAACACAAACAGGGGGCCACGTCAAGCTTTATATTTTCACTGCACACGATTCACTAACAGTGCAAATCCAAATTTCTGGCAAATTCTAAGCATAGTATTAGAGAAACACTAATAGTTCTTTTTTTATCACTGACACCTTACACAAATTGTGATATATTAAGAAAAAGAAAATTCTTTTTTGACTTATGAAGAGATATAAACGACTTGACAGATCACACAAAACATATATATATATATACACACACACGCGACAAAAACCCGGCCTCGAAATTTTTGGAGCACTCGTATATTTGTTTTTTTTTTTTTTTCCCTAATTGTTTATATTCTCGAGGCTCATAAACGGCTGTTAATTTCATTATTTAATTACACCATTTTTATTGTATTTTTATTAATTACGTGAATATTTATTTTCAATAAATTTGTCTTTAATATACGATGAAAAAAAAAAGAACCACAAATTCAACGGACAAACGGAATTACACACCTTGCTTTAAGTGAGATCGCACACGATATGTGACTCAGCAATCACTCTGGCAACGTCGTTCTCAGGGTCGTGCCAATTGCATTTTAACCCCCTTGCAACAAAACTCTTTCCATAAAAGTAAACAAAAAAAATAATAATAATTTTCCATTTAAATGCAAATTAAAAATAAATTAGTTATTTAATTTTATAATTAACAACATTTCTTTTAAAAAAAAATTTGAAAATTTATTCAAATTTTTTTTTTCTTTCTAAACAATATTGTCATAATGATGAAATCATTTTCGCAATTGTTCAATAACGTATATACACACGATATTTCCAGTTTTCTTTGTTTTATTACAATCATTTAAAAATTAAAATAATCTTTCAATATATATTTTTTATTATTATTATTATTATTATTGTTATTTATTAATTAATAATTAAAATTTTCTTTATTTATTTTAACAAACAAATTACGTAGTTAACAACAATTTAATTAAAAAATTTTAATTTTTATTAAAAATTTGAAAAAATTTTTTTTTTTTTTTTTAATAATAAACAGGAAGTTATAAAAACATGGATTAAAAATTGACACTATAATTCAATTCAATTGGAATAATGTCAAATGAATTGAACTTTTATAAAAAGCTGATGACATCAACAAGAATGAAAAACAATGTTGCATTAAATGAAAGTTTTCGGGCAAATAAAAAAAAATTATTATAACTTTTGTAGTAGGGTGATTTTAAAAATTTTTCTTGTTAATAATTTTCAACAATAAGATAACAATTAAAAATGAAAATCAAGAAAAATAAAATTGAATATATGCCTTTAATAATATTTGATATAAACTTGTTTACAATACTAAATATTATTATTATTATTATTTTTAATAATAATAATAATAATAATAATAATACAATAATAATTAAACATTAAATTTTATTTAAAAAAAAAAATTTTTAAACACCTGTTTTCCATTGTAAGGCCTCGTAAAAATTAATCAACAATAATAAATAATAATAATAATAATAATTTTACAATTTTAACAAAAATTTATTTTTTTGTTACTATTTATAATATTTGTTTCTAATATTATATTTTATTATTATATTATTATATATTATTTTTACAAATATTTTTTTATTAAAATATTATTAATTATTATTATTATTGTTATTTTTTTATTTTTAATATTAAATATTGATAATTACTTCATTTTTTCCATAACCATTTTTACATTAATTTAAATATTGACTGTAAATTTCAAATTAAAAGTAATATTTTACTCTCTAAATTAGTATTAGTAAAAATTTTTAACGAATTTAAATTAATGACTAATTTTCTGCTAAATAAATTTAATAGTTACATTTTTACTGAGTAATAATTTTAATATTTTATAATTTGTTTAACTTTTTAATTTTATTTTTATTTATCAATTTATATTTGTTTTTTTTTTTAATTTTCTATTATTTATTTATTATATTTATTTATTTATTTTTTAACTTCACATTTTCGTATTTAAAAAAGAATAAATAAATAATTTTTCATTAAATATTTTTTACAAAACTTGTACAGCTATCGTTAATATCAAAATTAAAAAAAATTTATTACTAAATAATTATATAAACTCAATTATATATGGACGATTCCACGTGAGATTTACCTATGGCATTTTAAATTCGATAAATATATTATTTTTTCGATCTTTATAGAAAAAAAATATTTACGTATTTTTTTATAAATGCTCAAATTTTCGAGTTATGAATTTTTGAAAATCTGTTTTTTTCGAGTTTTTTTTTTTTAAATACACCTAATTTCAATGACATCTAATTCTAAAAGTATTGAATTTAGGAATTATGACCAAGATACAAAAAAGTTTTTGTTTTTCATCGACTTTTAAACCATGTTAACGAAAAAAATTTTTTTTGAATTTGTTTATAAAAAAAACAGCGATTTTTTATAAACAAATTAAATTTTTTTAAATTTAGGTGCAATTTTTTTTTTTTTTTTACACACATGAAAATAAGAAGAAAATTTTGTAATAAGTTTTGCAGTGGGCATGATGATCCTTTTGTTTATATAATTTGTTAAAAAAAAAAAATTTTACTTTTTTTTCGTTTTTTTTTTTATTTTTCGAAATGAAAAGTGTTTTTGGGCACTAGGATCTTTTAGTAAACTCATAAAAAAGCAATTTAAAATACATTTTATTTTGAAAAATAAAAAAAAAAAACGAAAAAAAAATAAAAATTTTTTTTAAAATAAATTATATAAACAAAAGGATCATGATGCCCACTCCACAACTTATTACCAAATTTTCTTCTTATTTTCATGTGTGTAAAAATGAAAAAAAAAATTTTTTAAATCGCGCCTAAATTTAAAAAAATTTAATTTGTTTATAAAAAATCGCTGTTTTTTATAAACAAATTCAAAAAATTTTTTTTCATTAACATATTTTGAAAGCCGATGAAAAACTGAAACTTTTTTGTATTTTGGTCATAATTCCTAAATTCAATATTTTTAGAATTAGATGTCATTGAAATTAGGTGTATTTTAAAAAAAAAACTCGAAAAAATCAGATTTGTAAAAATTCATAACTCGAAAATTTGAGCATTTTTAAAAAAAATAAGTAAACATTTTTTTTCTATAAAGATAAAAAAAAAAATAATATATTTACCGAATTTAAAATGCCATAGGTAAATCTCACGTTATATTTACCGCAGAACTAAAAAAATAATAAAAATATTTACTCGATTTAAATAGTTATTTAGTTGTATCTAATTAAAAATATATTATATTATTTGATTTGAATTTCTGAAATAAAAATAAAATAAAAAATATAATTATATTAAACAATTTACGTCACGTGATAAGCAATCTTAATAAAAAAAAATTGTATACAAAAAAAAATAAATAAAAAATAAAAATATCTTCAAGTTTATCAATATGAATCAAAAATTCTTAGAATTTGCATTATCTACTTTGGTAGAATAGAAATCTTCACTTGTCGATACGACAGTTCTCATCATTATTAACACAAAACAGTCGATAAAACATTGCAACTTTATTATCCTAAGATAATTTCAAATTTATTTAAACAAATTTAAAATAGATTTTTTTTTAAAATAATATTTTCCACAAATATTCACTATTATTATTAATATCATTGAAAACAAATTTTTTTGGAGGGGAGAATTCTCTCAATCTTCAATTTCTACATTCTCTTTTAAAGAAAGTGCATTAATAATAAAAAAATTTATAGTTACACTAATAGAAAAAAAAAGTTGAACTTTGCCCGCGTTGACATGCGCGCATTAAATGCGCTGTTGCCAAGTTTATGGCGCGCGATAGACAAGTAAACTCGAAAGTTTTATCACACATTACATGTATATATATATATATATCTTATCATATACTTGACAAATTTTACATTTATACGTACCTCGCACATGGTCTTCATTTTCTTTTGATTCGGTAAACTGATCTCAGGTGATAAAGCTCTCATTCTCGGCAAATCTTCAATCTGCATTTTTGTTTCCTTATTCTGTTCAATTATTTTTATCCAATTGAAACTTGAATATTTTTGCACTTCAAAGTATTATATATGTATATATTGATTCGCGAACGTATCGTTATCACAATTTACTGTCTGGAGACCAGAGGATATACTGCTTCAAACAACTGTAACAGAAACTCTCGTAGATATTGTTGAAAGCAGAACGCGCCTCGCGCAACCCAAAGAGATACCACGAACTTTATAATTGAATGTATATAGTGATGATTAACTCTCTGAACAAGATTCTCTCTTTTCCGAGTGTCAAGGTCAATTTTTATTACTCGTCTTTCAACAATATATATGCAGGAAAAAACATTATTTTTTTTTTTTATTCCTTAATTGAGATGAAGTAATATTTGCACTATGCATACGTTATACATGTATATATGTTGATGCAATATATATATATAAGTTCACGTCATTTATATTCCACCTAAAAAAAAAATCGTAGGTAAATATTCTTACGTTAATGTCACGTGACTGACGATGTTAGTAATTTTCAAATATAGCGCTCAAATCGGAGATATACTTTGTTTCCTACTTCCTGTATTATATTTATAAACATTTTCGAGATCTTATGTTCCTTGCATAAAAATTTTCTCGACATAATTGTTTTGTATTATATTTTAGGTATATATAATTATTATATTGTATTATTTTTGTAAATTTTAAAATTAAATGAATTTGGTGAATAGAATTTATAATATATAGGTTATAACAGGTACAGTGACCGACACCTTGACGGTGAAGGACATCTGCTTTTAAAAACGATAATAACTATAGAAATAATAATATTTCAATAAATTTTCAGAGGTATAAATTAATTAATATATATATATATATATATATATATATATATATATATATATATATATATATATACAAAATTTATAAACTGATACAGTTGACACAAAATTTTATTTCTTTTTATTTTCCTCAATATTTTATACTTCTTAGAAAACTTAACCTCAAAAATTTTTGTTTATTAATAAAAAAATAATTACACAGCCCCACAAAAAAAAAAGTGTCATGTACTTTTAACCGGAATACCCTAACCCTATGTATTTTGACGCGCTGAACACGAATCCGAAGTCCGTTTTGCTCCATCACGTCAGCATTTTTTTCTAACCTCAAAATACATGTCGGATTTTGAGAAGTAGGCGATTTTTTTAAAAATTGATGTATTAACTTCAAACTTGGTATCTGGGGGTTTTTTGGGTCGCTGATTACGAATCTGATGTCAGATTTCCGAAATTCGATATGCCTGATTCAATATTAAGGAATTATTTTTAAAAAATTGTCAGATTATTATGAAATTTGGTATCTACAGGTTTTCTAAGTTGCTGACAAGTATAACACTAGGGAAAGTGCCATACGCCGATTTTTCTGAAACTTGGCAGTTTTGTAGTTTTTTGAAAACAATTTGACACGTATGTTTTGTTTTTCCCCAAAAGCTGATTTATGGGGGGGGAAATACCCCTTGAATTTTTTTTTGGTA